CTCAAGAAAAATACAATGAAATGGTTACACCGTTATTTCTTTAATTGCATACAAGTACACTTTTAGCTCTTCGATTGGTACATATTTGTCTCTTGATTTTTTTTGTCTAGCTCTGTTCCGCCATCATCAAAAGCATCAAATCTGATCTTGCTTCGTGTCACGCAGCCAGAAATGAAGTCCTTTCTGAGTCTAAAACGACGGTGAACTCATTAGCTGAAGCCTCCTCCATAACTGTAGGTAATCGTTCCCTGTCATTATTACGTCCTGAGCTAGAACCAAGTTGTTTCGAGGCGACAGGTTCTTTTTGTGAAGCCGAACCCTTCAAGGATCAAATAAGTCAACAGAGCCAACCCATACCACTTACCACTAGCTCCCAGATTAGCGCCGAGATATCTGACAAACATGCTAGTGGTCTTCTGCGAACTCAATCTTCTGATCGTATTGGCACTGACTCACTGGCAAAGGACACCATGAACGGCATATTGTCTAGTGACCCAGCTGTCTCAAATGCCCAAACTCCGTTAATGAATGCGCCTCGAAGGAAAACTCCTGCCACCATTGCATCTCCTGCTGATTCTATCACTCACTTAGCAACTTCTTTGGCACCTAGCTCTTCACATCAATATATCAGAATGCCCATCCACGGCACATGTTTGGAGGAAGAGAGGTATAAAAAAGAGGCATCTTTTCACTCACGTTCACAACACCAGAGTCATTTACTTGAGCTACTAAGTCATCATTCAGAACGAGACATTGCTTCTAGTAAGATAGGAAATAATGAACAGGATTTGCGACTACAAGAAGCAGCTTGGCTTGTCAACCAAAAATTAGGTAAGGCAAATTATGTTGCAGAGGAGGAAGATGAGAGTCAGACTGACCACGATGTGTTGGCTGAGGTACTTGACGAAGTAGATGAGGCTGCTAGCATCGGCGAAGACGTCTTGTCTACCAATCTAGCAAGTGTAGATTTGCTGCTTTCGTTAGGACATATAAATAAGACCAACGGTCAGGATGAACGAATCACAGACGATGGGCCCAGTTTGCAACTTTCCCCTTCTCAACCGACCCTAAGCAGCTTAAACGAGGACTTCAACCATTTCGTACATCAGGTTGAAGAAGCTACTCCGGGCACTCCAGTAGCCTCGTTAGCATCTTTGCCTCCGGATTCTAAGTGAGTTTCTCTGTCGTATTCTATCTCGGTAACGTTTCCGTGATTTCCTACCTGATCACTTTGATTTTGAAGTGAATAATTCCTTGGTGTTTATTTCTTGGATGGCCTAAATTTCCATTAATTTTACATCATATATTGTTTTTCTCATCTGTTTTATGTCGGACCCTTTCGGAGTATGTATATATATATATTCTAGTAATTTACGTCCAAACCTTTCTGTCGTTGAAGTGTTTTTTTATGCTCCTGCAGCATAAAACAAAAATACTATACTATT